CTATAAGAGCGAGCGGTGGTCGTGAGTACGTTTTAAAAATCTACTAGAAGTAAGGATATATAGCGACTGATACCCACCTGGTAACGACCAGACAGTGTTCTCTATCAAATCACATCTTTAACACCATGACTGCAGTACATTTAGCAGTCAGATCGCGGTAGTACAGCTGAGTTGGTTGCAAAGTGGTTCCAAGTAATTGGTGCAAATAAGCTTCCATTACGGCATTGATAAGAAGATTGGCGGTCATCACCGCCAATAATGACTCGTCACTGCACAAGCAACAATTTTTTTTATCCGTTTTTTAACGAACGAACAATTTTTGACGCTTAATACAGTTTTTATGTATATCCTGTTCCAACATTCTATTCTGAAAGTTGTAAATCTTGAAATTATCTCATTCAGAGACACTATGAATTATATTTAATTATTGTGATAAATTAAGGAATTAATTCGTCTAAAGAAAGAACTGAAATTCTACTATGCATCTATTTCAGAAGATTGCGACTAATTTTCCCGCCTCGATTTAATTTTAATGAGTACTCCATCGATTAGCTTACAATATGAATTGCGTTTTGTGTATTTCAATTCGACTAATGGTGGACACTTGAGGTCAGCTACTTTAATTAAGTATGAGTTTGAAACTGAAATTGTTGAGTGAATTTTGGATCGAGCTGTCTACAGGGTTTTGGATCATATATAATTGTTATAGAGGTAACCAATCCATGCAATCATTTTAAGCCCAAAAAATCATTAAAACAATAAATAATTGTTTTAATAATAGTTTTAACTTTCATTCATTTGTAATTATCAGTGATTACGAGCAACGACTTGATCGCACTAATTAAATACCCTGTGTAATAAAAGCGTACACCTGTAAACTGGGCTGTAATTTCCACTCACCACTGGATTCTGCTCCGTCGACATAATGAGGATAGATTTTTCTGTATGAATGTCCGTATCCTTACGTCGATGAATTACTGGATGAAATTACTGAGTTGCAATCAAAACCACGTTGCAAGCCAAAATTACATTCGGAATCAACCCTTCTCATTTCCTAAAGAACTTATTGGTCGATAGACGTCGAAGCTGTTAGTCAGACACTGAAGCTATGCAACCAAAAACTGCTAAAGCTTAGGTACAAATAAGATTTTTAAGGGTGTCAACTGGGTTTAATTTTTTGTGAAGGTAAAAAAGCCCAAGATCTCGATCGGTAATGTCCAGCAACAGGTACCTCTGATGATGAAATGAACTGATTCTTCGTCTACATAGATAAGATATGCTCATCATTTATCAGGTCTGCTTTCTTATCAGTCAATGTACTCAGCAGGCATTCGCTGGTTAAATCGACGTTGAAACAACTACCTGTTACGACTGTGGGATCGAGTAGAAAAAAGGTTTAGTATGAAAATTGAAGCAACGCTATTCTGGAAACGTCGTACTGGCGTTACGACGTAACGTTTAATCAATGTTGCTACTACGACGTTGCTGCAACGTCAAATTCTCTGGTTGAATCAACATTGAAGAACAAACCTTTTACAACGTTGGGATCACGTTGAAAAAAAACCATCATGTTGATGTATGACCGGATTTCACTAAACATGTTTTATCGCGACAGGTACATTATACCAGAATCTTATTAGAATGAGTTTCATTTAATTATGATATAGACATTCTATTTGATACCCTTTATCTATTTGTCCACCTTTTTTTCTCCGCTGGAAGAACCATTCGACCGAAGCAGGCTCCATACCCCAAATCGCTTCAAGCCGCGCGACGCCTTAGCCAACTTGACCATTGCAGCTCGATTGCATGTGATATATAAATAAATTTTTTCACCAAACTTTCCACATCATGACTTAATGAGGAGGCACTTTTGTGCCTAAATTTTCTGAACATCTTTAATTTCTGCTATTTTTCAGAGAAGGGATACTTAATTGTGTAGAGAATCTAAAATCACATCTGCAATCAAAACTTGCAGGTATAGCGTGCTATCGCAGGGTTGCATAACAGCAGGTTTCGAGACAAACTGATCGACGTTAATGAGAAGTGAAGTACTTTACACTTGTCAGCATTAAAATGCAGCAGCCACTTATGTGTTGTTGTTCAAGCATTCCTCGTATCGCCAATTTATGCTTGATTTTAGTTGTTATAAATAAAATTATTATGTAACATATTGTGTTGGTCAGATTTTGACGTTGATTTCACGTTTAATTTTAGTTGTTCAACATTTAAACTGAAATCAACCAATAATCAACGTTGTTTCAACCTCAGATGCCTGCTGGTTGTAAGCTTAATTAGAGATTATTCAAGTGATTAGTTATCAATTATTAAGCAACAAAGAAAATGGTTTATTTTTGGTTAAATGAACTACACTGTAGCGGGCCAGCTTTGGCCTCGCTATTAGTTGTCTCCAGTCGCCGCACCTCTCTAACAGAGACTGAAGAGAAAGAGTATTCGTAGGTAGTTTTCGTGGGAAGCAGCGTATTGCTAGTAGCCAGCCTACCATTGCCTGACCTACCACACTTTGTATTGACTGTAAATATCTGTAATTAATGTCTATATATTGTCTGTACTATTAAACCTAAATGCATTTAAATATGGTCCTATATCGTGGAAGCGGGTTTTCCATGAAATTTAAGTAAATCTGATGGCCTTTGTAAATTTGCTGAACCAGTTGTCATTCATCCTCGTACGTTAGGGCCCGCTTGTAGAGACCCAGTAACTTTGTGTATGGAGCGTAGTAATCCCGCTACAACACGACATTGCATGTTTCATACAAATCAGTTTGGAAATCCAATACAAACACCCATACCTTGGCCATTTTTTTCATTTTCAGGTAGGAAAGTTGTGTTTAATTTACTTCAATCAAGTCAATACCAGTCTAATTTTGATACTGCGTACACTGTTAGCCGCATCTCAAACTGGGCAACAGCACTCAGTGGCGTGCCACAAGGAAGCGTTCTTGGGCCTGTTAATTAAGTTCGTTGCTTTTATAAACGATTTGCCAGAAGCAGTGTCCAGCGTGTGCTCCATGTATGCCGACGACACAAAAGTTTGTAACACAGCAAAGGATGCTTCATCAAATAAAGCGCAAGTGCAAGATGATCTTGATAGTTTAGTTAACTGGGCTGATAAGTGGCAGCTACATTTTAATGCTGACAAGTGTAAAGTACTTCACCTCGGCAATTTTTAACTTATGAGGAAGCTGGTCCGCGAAACGCTTTTGGTAAGAAAACCGTGAATAAACTTGGCGATTTTGTAGTTTTTAAATCCAAGATTGTTGAGAATTCTGTAAGAAATATTTTGACAGTTTCATTTAAAATAAATGGTGCGTCGGAAAAAATAACATTTCCTTATACTGTAACTCTTCAAAAATGCAAGCTCTCTGATGCACCCTAAACAGTAAACATGCATCTATTTTAAAAGATTACAATTTGATAAGATCCTTCCATGAAGATTCAGCATTATACAGTATTGCTAAATTTATTATCCACAAAAGTTTTTGCACTAATAGCAGCTTGATTGATACGTTTTCATTGAGGAGCATAAAAACTTGTTGAGAAATTCATTTGGTGATCAAAATTATTTTTCACTTTGATTCCTGCCTAATGACCATTTTTAAAAGAATTTTCTTATCTCACAATTATTAAAGCTTCCACGAGAAAAATGTGTTTTCCCACCGCAAATTTCAATAATTGTGCAAGTTTTGCACGTGAACTTTATTATTCGGTTAAAAATTCTGACTAAAAACTTGTTTACATATCCATGTTTAACAAAAATTTATGGTTTCCAGAATTAAATGTTAAGAAACTCTTTAATTTATATGGTCGCGTAGGCTGATAATGTATGTGTACCCCAGAACAGGCTGCAATGCATTGAGAATATTAATTTCGAGCCGACAGTTATGTTTCAGGAAGATAATTAAGACATGTTGCTTTACCTGCCAAAAATTTATCCCTACAAGGAAGATTTATTCGAATATTGCACACATAAGAACATAGCATTGCATACACTATTGCGTAAAACACGACCGGGAATAACGATGACTTCTGAACTCTAACTATTAACTATAACTACATCTCATTTCATCGTAATTGACAGCCTATACTAGCAGGGAGGCCAAACAACGGGACGAGTTTAAAAGTATCGACTGTGAGCACAGAGATAAACCTCTACATGCACTATGAAGAGCGTCAAGGATTGCTAAACGATGCGTTAAGAATTTTTGCAGCTTCGAATATTGAACTTGGAGAAATTTGAAGCTGGGTGACGCAAATTCTAAGAGTTCACTTCTACCCCTAACAATAATTATCCAGATTTGTTGGGGGATTTTTTACCCAATGTAGAAGTATCGAAATTTCAAGTATGCGCGACCGGATCATTGAGGCTCCGATTGCTTCGTTGATAATACGTTTTAGGAGATAATATGGAAGACGTGGCATTTCCTTTCCAACTAATAACGTTTATCAATTGTTTATCTGCAGATAAGGAACGCTCCTATCGTACGAATCTGATATATTGTAATTGGTATACCCAATTATTATTTTAATAACTTCATGAAAAATGTCATTGAAAAGCATATTATTATATGACATAATTCAACCCGAGTGAAACAAATGACATATTGATAGCTACAACTGTTGGCAAGTTGATAAAAAAAATAATTATAGTTTTAGTTTGAAAAATTGTATGCATTCAAAGCTCTCTGCCAATTTTCAATGCTGAAAATCGGTTACCGCCGTTCACAAAAATGAACACCAAATAACTGCCGAGCTCTCAACAACCGCTAACATGTAATGGTTCTCATCCTCAGACTGGCCGACGGCGCCTCCGTGGCAGACATCGAGTCCATATCCTTATTTATTTAACCTTTTTACCAAAGTTGTTGTCTGCAATATTTCGTTTGTTACACAAAAATGACGAAGAAATCGTCTTTCTAAGTTTCGGGTAGGTTTATTCTTTTCGCCTTTTAGATTCTTTCAAATGCACATCAAAAAATCACAATCACACAATATATGTTCCATGATTAAAATGCAAATGTTACCACACAGAATAACGAACAACAGCGATAAAAAATGCGACTGCATTAATTATGATTTTGAATCGGACAAACATACGAACACAAGTCATTACACGCGTTAAACGAAAGAGTAAAAGCCAACATTCGAGTGAGTTCGTAATTAATATTGACCTAATTCATTCATAGTGAATCTAAACAATGTTTTATTCCCGATTTTGAAGTACATTTTTCCGTTACCATTCGATAAGTCCATGCTCTGAGCAACGCGTTTACCCACAAGCATTGACTCTTGTTCTCCTTTTATGGAACATCGAAACTTGAGACATCCCGAGCCATTGTTATGGTAGAAGTGTAGTTTGGTTGATGCTTCCACGCACACAATTTCTTCAGGAAGATCCCCATCTCGGAAAAGCTTGCGAGCCTTAATCCATAGAGCGTCAAGGTTATCCCGTGGACACTCCATCGCCCAGTAACCCAGCTTTTTTAATTTAGTGTTCTTATCGATAGTGTCATAGAAATCCTCAGGTTCAGTTAACCAGCGAGTGTCCAATCTAGACGTTGGATTGTCCATCTCGATTGTAGGCCCGACTTTGCCGAAGGTTTGGTCATTCCCATTTGACTTCCAAGATTCTTGACTGCTTCTAGTTGGCCTTGATCGCCAGTTCTCACACTCGGGATTTAAAAAGTCACGGTCCCTGCTGAAGGAAAAGAAGGATGTAATGAACAGATTTAAATTGCGTGGATACTGCTATCATACAGCAAAGTACCGTCAGAATGTCAATAAAACTCTTCCAAGCTCGCTCTTGTAACCTCCTAGCATATCTTCATTAATTCATTACTTTGTAAGTGCATGTTACTCTGATAGTCCATAAGAACTTGAATGTCACTTTTCATCAAGTTTGATTGAAACATACGTGACTTGTTAGAGGAGTTGTTACCTCCAGAAGCTGTGTTCTCCTGGCTGCCCGTACTTGCTCCATCTTTGAGACACGGGAAGCATGTACAAGTGGTTCTTTTGGCAGCCAGTCGCTCGAGTGCCTGAATTACATTGCTTGTCGGTTTTGTAGGGTATATCATATATGTCCTGTAATATTAGTGTACCTTAAGAGCTCGACAATGTTCATGCCGTAACGTAACATCAAATCCCGGTCGTCGTAAGGCCCACACTGGAAACTTATCACCTTGAGTTCATGGCGCGAGGTTCTGCTAGGGTTGGCTTTTGCTGTCGATGATACCACTGAAGTGACTCCTTGAAGTGTCCCTGATCTGTAGAGAAGACAGGCTTTCTTCCACATAGAAAAGAGATCTTCAGTTTTGAAAAACAATACCCACTTTCCTCCCTTGGACTTTTCGTATGTATACTTGCGAGCCAAGTCATCTCGTTCTTCTACGATGTAGCGAAATTCAACCTCTTTAGTGGGATCTTCAATTGAGGCGCTGCTGTGGCGTCTACACTCCTCAGTAAGAACAGCCTCAGACTCTAGCTGCACAACACAAAGAGTAAAAAATTAGCTCAGTACCCATTGCAGTGAATGAAAGAGTGCGCATTTTCTCCTGCTCTCTCACCCCCGAAGTCACGGACGGACGGACGGATGGACATGACGAGCACGATTGCGCCTTTTTTCCATAAATGAGAAAATGCGCTAAAAATCATGCACAATTTTCATGTATTATCAACTTTACTCATGACCTACGAAATGCTTAACATTTCAGAAATCATTAATAACGTCATGTACTGCTGCGTTTGTTGTTTTAGTTGGAAAACCTTCATGATGATACTGAAGAAGGTTAACTAAGTTTCGTTAGTTGCACATACATTAAAATTCTCAATGCATATGATGATACAATCATTCTAAGCAGCCCGTCATTCCTTAAAATGTCATTAAAATTTCTTAGTCACTAAAAGTGTACGCAACTGCAAATACAAGTTAATGGCGTTGACATTCGTCCTCACCTCTTGATTCTTGTCGGTTAACATAATAAGCACAGATTTTCTATCGTATTGCCTAAGTCCTGATCCTAATGTGTAATTACAGCGTAAATAAATGAAAGTTCAGTCCTGTTTAATTTAAATTCAATTTATCCAATTAATTATTCAATTTCATTTGACGTCTACACGATACGACTACACTCATCGACAACTAGGAAACAAATGGCCACTAGACTTGCTTACAAGCGCAGCTGCATGCTCGACTTCTACGGGAATGGCACAACCAAGAATTGCAGAGATCTCATTGGAAAAACATTTTATTCAGTTTATCACTATTGTTATATCTATAATAAAGGTAAAATTGTTTAACAAATGCTAAAAGGCGTCAGGTTTTGCAATATTCCCGTAAAAGTCAGATCTATAATAAAATGAACTTCGTCTGCAGAGATAACGTAAGCTCCTCATTTATATATCTGATCTGCTATCTCGCTTTCAGTACATGTAGATAACAAAAGGATAATGTTTGAATAATTAGTACTAATAAACAATGAATATGTGGATGTGATGGGAATTGCACATGAATCATGAACTACCACCATTATTTGCAATTTTTCATATTATTTTCAATATTACGGAGTGTGTGGAAGAATAAGTTTTAGTTAGTGAAATTATACAGTAATAATTCTGTAAGGAGGTGCAATACCACATTCAATATATATATACTGTAATACAATAGCTGATTAAATATACACAAATTTATTTTCCATCGTTTATATATATAAACGATTCCATCGTTTATATATATATTCCATCGTTTCATTAATGAATGCCAGGCCAGCCTGTAAAACGAAGATCGAACAGAATCGATGCCATTAACTCAGAAATTCTACTCGAATTAATATAATCGTGCGTGTAACTTCGAAATGAAATAATCGTATTCACGCTTATATCTGTGAAAGACTGAACAGAGTGCGCCCGGAATTTTAAGAATAAGCCGTATTTGATTAGAAAAAAGAAGCACAACTAGTAAGTTTCAAACGATAAAAGATAAATTGAGGCAGAATTGGGGCAGAAAAATAATCGGCTGTGAGGGTTGATGAGAAGGAAATTTATTTGGTTATGGTATACTAGCGTGCTGGGAGTAGGTACAGAACGGGATGTGCTGTTTCACGTTGATGTTTAAGTCATACGATCTTATGTTACGGTCAAAGGTTAAGAACTCGAATCAAACTCGGGATTTCCATGAAACAAATTATTATTCGCATGTTCATTTTCAGAAAAAAATAGTTTATTTCTGAAAATGTCGATATCAATGTGCGATAGATCCTGAGATCTATATCTTAGGATCTACATAGATCCTAAGATATGTATTTCGGCATCTTCCCTAAAGATACCATAGTTTTATAATTACGATCGAGATCGATTTTTACGTCTAGATATATTCATGTTTCTCTTAGTTATTGCCCTTCTCGCGCATCAAGTTTGAGATGCTAACACTATATTAGGTCTTGGTAGTGCACGATGAAAGTTTTAGCCAATAATATTATCAGCAAATATTACCCAATAATAATTTAGGACTGACTTCTTCGTTCAGTGGAAAGTAGTAAGAGCGGCGTTTGCACTCCAAAGAATTTGACTTAGATGCCCCGCTCATAGGGCCGGATCAGACGTGCTGTATAGGTTTGCACTGCTCCGAAACCTTAGGCCGTAATATCAAAACTTCATAAGTACTCAAAATCGACTTACGAGTGGCGTTGCTGACAACGTAATACTAGCGGTGGTATTATCAAAACATTTGAGCGGGAAACATTTGCGCGGGAAAAACATTTACGCTTTATTTACGCTTTTAGCTAAGACTTGCGTACGAAAGTTTTGATAATGCCAAAATTAGGCTGTACTTACGTACGTACCACATAACTTTTTGTCGTAAGTACAAAAAAGTTACGAAGTTTTGATAATCCGGCCCCAGAACTATATAAGACGATGATCCTTCCAAGTAACCTCTCCCTATTGGTCCGAGTATTGGAGGAGTTTCACCTACGTCCTATTTTTATTGATGAAGTTATCTCAGCTCATCAGCTGGAGGAACAAAAATATCACCAACTGCTTCATCAGAAGCCTCCTCAGACTCGGCATCATTGACAACTTCCATATTGTTTCCCCTAGGACAGACTTAACTCGACGGCTTCCAACGAAGCGCTGGCAGGTATAGATGATTAGATGAAGAACTGATTAGAAGCGGGAAACTTTAGCCACTAATGCTTTCGCTATAATCGCTGATGCTATAAAGTATAAAGCTTCTCCATGTACATTCTCCGTAATGCACTTTGATTTATAGTTGAGGAGATAACAAAGCTGAAGATGAATCTTGCATCGCATAATTATTCATATATCTTCAAATTAATGAATCACTGCTGTGCTCTTCACAAACAGGAACCCATCAATATATAATTGAAACTCATAAAAAATTGAAACGTTATGGTCTTCAAATCTCTTTGTGACAAGAGGGCAGGTCAAGCTCATTTAAATAGTCAACATGAAAATTTCATTTTTGCAGCCAGTTGCACTAGTTCCAAGAGCCGTCTGCGCGTCGCACTTGTAAACAGCGCCTTTATAGGGCAGTAGACTCTGAGGACTGAGACGAGGTTCCTACCATTACGCATCATCAACTCTTGGTCGTCGCAAGGGCCGCAGTAGAAGATCACTCCTGTACCGTTATCCTCGGAGTGAGGGTTAGGTCTGGAAATGGATGCTTTATTTGCAGTTATTAGTTCCAGTTTTCCTTCTCTTTACAAATTGCAGGACTTCTTCCTCATGGAAAACATAGAATTCATTTTCACAAATATCATCACTTGCCGCTCTTGTGCGATATTGCTATGTGATTGTGTCACTTTGTGCGCTGGTAGTGATGGGTTGCGCACAATGGTCCACTGGTAATGTGTGGTGCAGTATAATGGTGTTTGGTTGTGCTCACTATAGTGCGTCGTTGTGCACATTGCTGAGCTTGTATATGCTAATGCAGTTGAGCATAAAAATGCGTACATGAAATTTCATTCGGTTGGCCGGCCTAGGATAGTGTCGATGCACTTCACAGTGGTGCGATGCACCACACCAGAAAAGCGTGCATGATGGTCGTGAAAACGTCTTAAAAATCTATTAGAAGGATGGATATAGTGACTGATACCCACCTGGTATCGACAAGTCACACTATTTTCCATCATATACGTATCACAGAGCTTCTTTACCGCCATGACTGCTGTACATTCATCAGCCGCTGCAGTCAGATTGTGATAGTATATGACTGAGTTAGTTGCAAATTACTTCTATGTGGCCATAATTGCTTCAATTATAGGAAACTGGTAAGGGTGATTGCGCTCGCTTCACTGAACCAGCTGGTACAAGGAACAGTAACTGTCCTTGTCAGTCATAATAACGAGCAATTTTGGAAGCTTAAAATAGTCTTTAATGGATATTTTATTCTAATATGCCATTCTGTATAGAAGAAATACTGAAAGTATCTCATTCAGATACACTATGAATTATTTTTCAGTTATTATGATATAAGAGGTAATTCGTCTGAAGATACTAGAGTTCTATTTTGCATCTCTTTCAGAATATTTCGACTAATTTTCCCGCCTCAAATTAATTTTACGAATACTCCATCGTTTTGCTTGCAATATGACTTCCGTTTTTGTATTTTAATCCGGTTAATTAGATGGTTATTGCAGAATGAAATAATAGCTAATTTAAAGGTTGGTTGAAACTAAAATTACTGAACAAATTCTGGATCGAACTGTTTACAGGATTTTGAGTAATATTTAATTGCTATAGTATAGAGGTAACCAATCCATGAAATTATTTCAAGTCTTCATAATCATTAAACAATAAATTATTGCAATAAATTTCATTCAATTGCAATTTTCCATTAATACGATTAACGATTTCTCTGTCGAAAGACACTGATTAATAAAAAATGCACACTTGTAAACTGAGCTGTAATTCCCACTCACCACTGAATTCTGATTTTTTCACCATTCTGACATAATGAGCACAGAGTTTAATGATAGGCACAGCGATTGAGCAGACTAAAGATATAAGTACTAATGATGTGTTGAATTGAAGGTGATCGAGGAAGGTACGCATGTGGTATTTACTGGTAGGAAACTTTTATAATGATATTTGGTCGCATCTTCAAAACTGATGTGTTCAGCCTGAGATATGTACTTTAAGAGAATGTTTGTGTTGATAAATGAACTACCATTTCAAGAATTTAACCCTGACTGGCAGCAGCAGCTCCTCATATACTTAATTTCATAATCGAATCGTGAGCCTCATGAGCAAACATATGGGGAAAACCGCCGTCAATTTTTTTTTTACTTAATTCATGTAGCAGCGTATTCACATCTTGGCTAGAAGTCGACATGTTGCTTTTTTAAATAAACTTTGTTTGATAGTATTTTAACACATTCTTTGCTTCAGATTCCGGTTTTGAGATTTTTGGACATGTTTTGATATGTTGATGAATAAGAGAGTTAATAAATAAAATTTAGACAACGTCGACCCGAAAAATCGACTGAAGCTTCTGATTTCTGAACGTCCCACGAGAACTCCCAGCTAACTCTTCAACGCACAACTTCAAACGAGCTCACTGGGAGGAATTCAAACACGAGACAGAAGTAAAATTTGAACACCTGAACCTCCTCCCAACCACAAACATTGATCACACTGTTGCCCAATTCAACAAGATCATCCAAGTGGCTGACAAGAAACACATACCTAAGTGCAACAGAAACCAACACAACCCTAACTTCACACCTGAGATAGCCAGCCTCATCCGTCAACGCAATAATCTCAGACAAACACCCACCCCTCACTCACCAATCACTACTCGAGAATTCCAGGAACTGAACGCACAAATTCAAAGCTAAATCACAGAACAACAGCAACAGGCTTGGCTCGAGTTCCTGGATACACTGGACCACTAATCCAACATCACACAACTTAACAGAAAAATACGCAGCTTAAACAACTCGAACAGCAAACAAAGAACAAATCCACGCTGCAATCACCACCAACACAGACAACATCCCCACCAGACAAGCACAAGCAAACATACTAATACAACACTCCGCAAACAAAGAATAC